TGATGTTTTCCATACTGGCCTTGAGCTCAAAATGTAGCTACGGATAACTCTAAATTCACCATCCTTTTGTGTTATTTCTGGGTTATGAGACACATCCCAGCATGCCTAATGTGGTACTGGAAAATTAAAAGAAGGGGTTTGTGTAAGCTAGATAATCACTCATCCTTGGCTATCCCCAAGTAAAGTATTCAAAGCATTTATTTATTATGTACATACATATGTGTGTGGAGGCCAAGACTGATGTAGAGTGTGTTTGTCAGCTAGTCTATACCTCATATTTTTCAATTTTAAACTTTGGAAGTGCCTCAAAAAAGCTACAAAACAGAATTGTCAATTAACCTGGTCATTTATCCCACAGTACTCTACATCCTAGCACAGAAATGACTGTTTATCTATGATCATTGGTATTGACTTTGTTTTTAAAACAAAGGCACAACTTTGTTTTTAAAAGCTAAAGCTGACAACCTTAATAGCCAGGTTATAAAAAAATATTGTATGTCTATCAATGGATAAATGGATAATGAAAATGTGGTACATATATGGAATGGGATTTTATTCAGGTGTAAAGAAAATTAAAATTATGAAATCTGCAAGTAAATGGATGAAGCTGGAAATAATATGACATAACATAGACTTACATAAATGCTACTTGTGCTTTTTTAAGATAGTGATCCTAATTTTGAATCTTTAGATGTAAACTGGAATACTTTTAATAGTCAGAAAACTAGAAAGAGGCTATGGAGGTGGGGGAGAGAGATAGTAAAAAACAATTGGTGGTGTGAAGGAAACAAATATGGCACAGAGGGAATTTAGGAGTAGTAAGATTTTAGGGCAAGATACAAAGCAGCAATAGAAAGAATTAACAAACACTTTCTTGAAAAAAACCTCATGGGAATCTTGGGAGGGGGGATATGGTGTGTGTGATATGGGAAAAACTGGAAAAGGAAGTAGACATGGATTTAATCAAAATACATTTTAGAAAGGGGCAGAATTCTCAAATAATTTTTTAAAAAATTATTAATTAGGTTGAAGAGTTTTGTGAGGGATTCTTTTCACCATGTCCGAGTTTGACCTCTGGGACTCAGAAAGTGGATGACAGAACAGAGTCAAGTAAGCTGTCATCTGACTTCCACATATATGCTTATGCATGCACATATACAATAAATTTGATAACAGTAAAAATTTTGTTATTGTGTGTATGTACACACCATGTATATGTGAATACAAGTGACAAAGTCAATGAGTAAAGATCAGGACAACTTCTCATACTTTTCTCTTATCAACTACAAAAAATGTTTTCAGAATAATTCCAGTACAAATACTCCTTTTTAAAATTTGGGGAAAGCTGGAATTGTGCATATTTTTAAAAGAAAACAGAAAAACTTTTAGAGACTATAAAACATAAATTGGGGGTAAGAATTAAAACCACTGTTTACCTGTTGATATTGAGATCTATGCGAATAAAGATAAAATGCTCTATCTTGTGGTGCAGATGACTCAAGCTCATCTGGGGTATCTTGGTCATTAGGAACCTAATTTAGAATTAAGTAATTAGGTTTAGTACGATACACCTTTATTTCAAAAAATACGGAAGGGAAAGCTAGACAATTATTAATTTCAAGTCATCAACTACATAATGAGTTTGAGGCCATAATGCAGTACATAAATCTTGTTTCCCCCATCTAAAAGAACTAACCAATCATTCTCCTAGAACCAAACAGCAAAAATAACTTTTCAAAGGAATTTTAAAAATAAAATTTATTCTCCTGAAATCTTTAATAAAACTGTACAAAATTGACTCCCCCTATATATGAGACAAATTTACATTGTATAAAAATAAATTATGGTTTTTAGAGACAGGGCTTCATTTATGTAGCTCTCTCTGGTGGGCCTATTATTGAGACAAGACTGGCATTAAACTCAAGAGCTCCACCTGTCTCCCAAATGCTGGGATTAGAGTCATATGTATTATAACTAATTAAATTATGTTCTTAAATACAAATTCCATTATTGAAAGACAAGTAAAGGCATAGTCTAATTTTTACGTAACTGTAGTACATGGGCATTGGTTTATAAGTCACTTTTCTTTCATGAATTACATTTTTTTAATCTATTAAGTCTTTTAACTTATTCCTTACCTCTTCTGGGAACAGGTCACAGGCTTTTGCAAGTGTCATCCTTGCACTATGAGATCTCTCTAAAAAATAACCATTTGATGTTTCATTGCTTTGTATTGGAGGAGACCAATTGCTGTAAGTGTAGTGAGGATTGACAGAATATGATCTTCTTTCAAGTTCATCTCCAAGCCATTCTACTGCCCAAGTCCATTTCTTTTTAAGATCTCCATTACCCTTAAACAACAACAAAAAAAACTATGTATGTTAATTATTAGGAAATTAAATTTTATTGTCTTCTCCTAAATTTGGAACCCCCCAAACTATTGTTTTCTTTCAAAAATTTGATTCGGAAATTCATCAAACTGTAAAAGAACTTTTACCTGTAAGATCTGGTAGGCAACAGGACAACTGTTAAAGAGCGTTACCATGCATTTTATACATTGATATGCTCTTTTTTGATATTGATGCTTAGATCGCTGAATTGTATCAAACAGCCCATCTCGATCATTTGGAATTCCTTTAAGAGCATTATGAATCCTGAAAAGATACCAAAACTAATCAAAACTGTAATACTTAGAAGAAATGTAACTTTATCTCTCAGTTTCAACGATCAGACTAGGCTAGCACTGAACTCAGAGTTCACCACCACATCTGTCAAAGCCAGTAGTTATAAATGTGTTTGAGGTAATCATACAGTTTTTCAAGTAGGTAACCCCATTTAGTAGATGAAAAACAAATATAGAGGAGTTAGAATGCTTGACAAAGGTAGAATTGTGAAAATGAAAGGCTGGCTTAACCTCAGTATTCTACTTAACATTTTGATCTATTCACAAATTAGTGTAAAATGTTTCTTCCTGTCGGGCACTGGTGGCCCACAACTGCCTCTAACTACAGTTCTAGGGCACTGAATACCTGTTTAGAATTTGTGGGTATCAGGAAAAAATGCAGACAAAACATCCATACATATACAAAACAAAATTAAGGAATCTAAACAATCAATCAATTTGATTTCAATTCAGAGTATGGCAATAAGAACCAGTAAATGAAAACAGTCACTGGTAAAAAATAACTTTAGTACCAATGAAATGGATCAGGAAGTAAAGAACATGCCATCAGGAAAACTGGAGTTTTGTACCACATATGAGCACCATGGCATATATGAGTATGTCTGTGTATTCATACATTAAAATAACTTAAATTCAGGTACTATGAATATATACAAATAAAATATTCTCTCACTAGCAACGAAATAATCCAACTAATTTTATTATTCAATTTCAACTGTAGTTACATTTTATATACTAACTGTTTCTTCTCAGTAGGTTTAAAATTAACTTACTATAATTAAATGGAAAAATTTTCCATCATATCATGTTCTGTATTTTACTTAATATATGATTATTATGTTCCAACTCAAAAGCAATACTTTTTGGTGTTTTCACTACTGCATTTTTTGTTTGTTTGCTTGTTTTTTGAGACAGGGTTTCTCTATGGCTTTGGAGCCTGTCCTGGAACTTGCTCTGTAGACCAGGCTGATCTTGAACTCACAGAGATTGGCCTGCCTCTGCTTCCTGATTGCTGAAATTAAAGGCGCATTCTGACAAAAACAATATGTGAAAGAACTTTGTATACTCTACCACATTATCATTATTACTAAGTGCTTTTGTGAGCAATTTAGATGGAAATTTTATTCTGTTATCTGTTATCAGGTAGTCTATAATACTACCTGGACAAAGTATATGTTTTACAAACTGATTCCTATATCAAAATTTAGTGTTTTTGATGTTAATCTGCATTTATTATTATATCTTTCTATACTGTGATTATACCTCTACTAGTACCATTACTTTGGGGAAATTAATTAGGGAATGATTTCATTAATTAAAAACAAATAATGAAATTGACATATAGTGTATTTCTGAATTCTTACAGCCAGTAAAAATTATATTCACCAAGCCAAATTAAAATAAACAAAAACTGCAATAACAACAAAATAGAATAAGAGCTTTATAACTTTTTTTCATGGTAACTTTTTTGGGGCTCTGTTTTATAACAGTTTGTTGACTAAGACTTCTTAACATTAGGCAATCTGCGGAAAATGGTTGATAAACACACAGAAACTTGGATAAATGGATAACAATTTGAAATTATTAGTAATTTATGATATCTAGTATTTCTAATCTACAAGATTGCAATGATAAGGATTTGAAATTAAATGAAATTTAAAAGCCAGTTAAGAGAATGAAAAAAGTAAAAGTATACTAAACTGTTAGTTGAAATTCCTTCCATAACTTGTACAATTAATTATGTTAGCATAAAGGTATATTATACCTGTGAGTTTGCCAGGAGTCCTCAATCAGGATAATTTGCAAAAGCAGATCCAAATGTGGCCGAAGTTCATAAGTATATGAATATGCAACCTAAAATAGTTAAGGCACAGTTAAGCTGTATTAAAACAGTTATAAATAAAAGTAGGTATGTTTATTTTGCTTTACCTGCCAAAGCAGTTCACTGAGAACAGAAGATGAGAACTGGGGATTCTCCCAGCAGCAAAAGCAAAGTAACTTGACTGTTTCCTCTGAGTTGCTGTAGTCTTCAATAATTTTCTTCACATAAGTGGTTCTTGCAAATAAAATGTCGGCCACATTCTGCTGAATTGGCATTATAGGCTGGGATAAATTTGGGTCACCAAAAGGATTTGGAAGAGGGGGATTACCTGCAACATATTTGTCATTAAAGAAAGGCAAAAAATTACAATGCTATATTTATTATTCAAATGAAATCAGATCTTTTTCTAAATTACAGTAGTATATTCAACGGAAAGATCATAAAAAGATAGGTTTTGAAAATGAAAAAAAATCTATAAATTCATTTTAATTTTATAAAAACTTGAAATGCTTTATAAATTTGTATGTCATCCTTGAGCAGGCCATACTAATCTGTACTGTATCATTCTAATTTTAGTACAAGTGCTTCTTTTTAAATAGGAAGTCAAAACACTGATAAAAATGAAATAATTAAATGTAAAAAAAAAACTGTTTTAAGTATCAAGATTTTTTTGTAGGTGTGTTTGGTATTACCACAGTGTTTGTGCATAGGGACTCAGAGAACATTCCATTCTCTCCTACTATGTGTGTTTCAGCCCTGTGAGATTTTATAGGCTGCTGTAGATTAGGTGAGAAAATAAGACTCCTGATGGTTTTCTTCCAATCATCACACATATGCTATAGCAAGCATATGCATGGTCATGTATAGTAAATTAAGTTATACATTAGTATATGATTTATAATAAATCACTTTAAAACATATAAACATGCTAACATTTTATGTGGCAATACTGTTTCAAGCCTAATATTTCAACAGTTGGGAAGCTAAGTCAGGACAATTGCTTTGCGTTCCAGGCCAGTTAATACTACACAGTGAATTCTATATCTGGGCAAGAGTGGGAGAGAGAAAGGGAAGAGGTAAGGAAGAAACATTGAGGGAGAGGAGATTTAAAAAACAAAACAATACAAAATTCCTTGCAAACAAAAAACTAATACAAAAAAGATACCAACTAAAAAAATAAAAATTGTATCATCCTTCAGTCTCTTCTATTTTATAATATCAGTATTACGTTAAGTATAATGCTTAGCTAACATTATCTTGAAACTATGACACAATAAAGCATTATAATTTACCACTGGTTGAAGACTGCATTCTTGATGAGACACTGCAACATCGGATCAGTTGAGATACTACCAAATATAACTTGCCTAATTCAGCATATTGATATTTAATTGGGGGACCTGGCCCTTCATCCAAAGACACAAGCATAAAAGTAGCCGGTACATTTAGTTTTAGAAGCTGGGTCTTTTCTGCCAAACCTGTGAAAAAAGTAGGACAACATTTTGTGGGAAAACATAGGATGGATAAAGCAATCACAACTCCTTGTAAACATTATGATTAAAAACTTTAAATATCAATAGCTTAAAATATAGATAATATAGTTATGATGTAGAGAAAAATACTGATATTTAATTAAAACTTAGTAATATAAAAGAAGTATTATCAAAATAATTGATTTGTTCATATTATGTATATCTTACTTGTACATGCTTCTATGAACCAACATGTGTGTTTGGTCCTCCATTGTAAGTCCTGGAAATCAAAACCAGGTTCAAACCAATCTTAAGCCCTCAAAATATACTAGCATTTTAAATACACTAGATCAAGAAAGAAATAACAAAGGAAAAAATAAACTCTAGGAGAGGTATAAAAAAGGTAGATTAAAAGACAAATTAAAATTATTTCATAAACTACCAGTGTCCGTAATAAGAAAAGTCCCTTGAGTAAAAAAGTATGTTTATATTCTTTCCACTTTGATTTCTGTCTCAACTTTCTTGACTAGAAACTAAACAAAAAGAATTATTAAATCTTTAAACAATTTCAAATCACATAATGTTCTCCATTTTTTATTAATGCCACTACAACCCCATTTGTTTGTTTATTCCTTCTCATTGTGTCTCTTTTTTCTTCAAAAAGTTGTCTCACCCCACAAGGCTTGCAGTTTATATACAGAGACACAATTAGCAATTGTCTGGTAATAGCAAGAACACCATTCAAGTCATGAAAACTGATGTCTAAGAAGACACCTGTTATGTCTCAGAGGTGGTTTAGCTATGAGAATTCCCAGTATATACCAGGAGGATTAATTAAGAAGGGAGATCTAAATCAGTATAGAGACAAGGAAAAGTGTTTTCTTTGTGTGTGTGTGTGTGTGTGTGTGTGTGTGTGTACTAACTACATTTCTTAAATGTGGCTAGTTAAGTAGAAGTTTGTAATTGATAAAAGTAAAAAAAGGAAGAAAACACAGCAGTGCCATGTACTTCTGAGCTGGGAATACAGAGTTGTGACAACCATGGCAAATGATGTACACTTTCGAAGGAAAACAATTAGTACTTGGACAGTGTTAGCATTTTTACCAAAAGTTAACTAACTTTAAATCAACCTTTCAACTCAAGAGACAACATATAAGCTCAAAAAAACAACCATTACATAGTATAAAATCCCAAGGCAGGGCCTTGCTCACACTGATGCCTGAGTGAGAAGTAATTTCATTTCCTCGAAGCCTTTCCAATAATAATTCAAGGCCCCCAGTATATATTGTATATATCAAGATAATACAGCAAATGAAGTAACTCTCCTGACTTCCCACAGATGTATGTGCCCAGCAGATAGAATATTTTCATGAGATATATACACAAGTATTGGGAAACACCCAAAGCTATTCTTAGGGAAGGGATATGAGATAAATTATAGACAGGAACAACAGATTTCCACAACCGCCAGGTGGAGTTCCCTGCCACTCGTGTTAGGCTGGCCTGTTGAATATTAGTTATACTGTTGTATGGTCATTCACAGGCTAAATTGGAGAGTTAAAAGGATATATGTTGAGAACCACCATCCTGCATCTTTCAATTCCCTGATGGTGGAAGTACTTTCTATGATTTCTTCCAGGATGCAATAGGTTTTGGTTCACTATTTTCCTTGACAGAGGCAACTCTAAAGGCTTCCACTTAGTCTTTACAATCACAATAGCCTTCACTTCTCAGAGATCAATTTAAGAATTCTGTCAAATTTTAATTCTATTCATACCAAATTTACATTTTGGAACTGAGGTAATAACTACAAAACGAGTTGGGAAAACTGCTGGACTGTCAGTCGTACTACAGCCAAAACTAATAAATCACCTGACCCCCATTAGTTCCTAGTTTAACTAGAGGGGTACAGTGTTTCTTGGGTTTTCCCAGAATATGGTTATCTACTAAACCCCAGAAAATCTGATTCTTTCCTTTCCAGGGTATACAGTTACCCTTGTGAAACACTGTAGGTCCCTCTGGGGGAAAGTCTGGAGAAAGGTTAGCAGTAAAACTCTAGTATTTATCTTGGTCCTTCTCCAGGCCACCTCTTTACCCAAGGGTTTCTGAATCTGCAAACTAGTTCAAGTTTGGAAGTGATTCACAGACCATGATTCACCTTTGTCATGACCCAATGTAGCCTTTCTTTCATTTGAGTTTTTATGTTTATACAGATCAACAAAAATTCAGTAGGCATCTTCTTTTCTATCTCATGTCTGGAAACTATAATTGATTAGCGAGGACCACAAGTTCATACAAGCCATGCCAATATAAAATTTACCTTGCCTATGCTGACCATTATGGGTTAGGCCTTCAAGGCCATTATTTTGTTTGACTTTTCCATTACAATAACTATGATCACATGACCTTTGGTAATTCAGTACTGCTACCTGGTCCATGCTACCTTGGAGGGCAATTAAAATCACTGCATTTAATTCATTTAATTGAGTAGAAGCATCTCTAACTCTTAAGTTCTGGCATAAGAAAGAGTGTGACAACAAAGCTCTGCAAAAGTGCTGGGGGCCCTTCGCTATTTTCTGTCTTATAGGATTAACAAAGGGCATGTCTTCTGGACTTTCCCACTATGGAAATCTGATTTATTCATACATTCATTTATTTTTTAGCATTGAGACAGGGTTTCTGTGTTAAAAGTCCTGGCTGGCTTAGTTTTATAGAGCAGGCTAGTCTTTGAACTCACAATGATCATCCTGTCTTTACCAAATCCTGGGATAAAGGTATGCCACAGCCATCTGGACTGAGTTCATTCTGTTTGTTTGAGGCAGTGTTTCTCTGTATAGCTCTGGGAGTCCTAGAATTAGCTCTGAAGATGAGGCTGTCCTGAAATGCACAGAGATCTGCCTGGCTCTGCCTCCAGTGTGCTGGGATTAAGGACATGCACAGGACTTCATTTTTTTTAAAAGCCAAAGTTAGTTATAAATAATAAATTTTTGGCTATGTTTATGATACAAAGAACTATTTAATATTTTATAAATTCCAATATAAAACTATGACAAATACTTATAAATTTGTTTTTTATTCACTTATAAAAACTTACTTTTACTTTGAAAATTAGTATGTTTGGCTGCAAACATGCCTTAGAGTGTATTAGTGGAGGTCAGACTGTCAGGGTTGGTGACAAACATGTTTAGCCAACCCTCCTAATGTTATATAGATTACACTTATTTTACTTAAAATAGAAGTTTTCCTGTATGTATGTACATGGATCTTGTGAATTTTAGACAAGTATACTAGATTGAGGTGTGGATAGTTGTGAATTACGATGTGAATGCTAACAACTCAACCTAGGTTTTCTATAAGAACAAGAGCTTGTTACTATTGAGCCATCTCTGAGATCTCTTGTAAACTGAAGCACTGCAGCACTAACAAATGAATCACAGACATTTAAAGTTTACAACTAAGTTAACCTCACCACAAAACACCCAATCTGAAACAACTTTTAAATAATTAACATTAACTATTAGTTTATAGTTCTTATAATCTACCAGTTTCGTTAAACAGTGACTCTTTAAAAAATTCTATAATTAAGTACTCCTTACCTAAACTGGCATACATTACAAATAAATTGAAATATTGTTGTAAATGTCGTCCATGTTCAGAAACTTCCCTTCTCAAGAGATTTAATACTGCTTTTAGTAAATGATCACTCAAGCTCAAATTATCACATATCTGAAGAAAAAAAAACTGGTTATTTTATTGGCAGCTACATATAGAATCAATGTACTTTATTTTTATAGAAATGATTACATTCCTACATCTGGCAAAAACTTGAGGTTTATCAAAGAAGAAATAAAGAACTTCATGAAGATTTCATCCTTTGTATTGTTCAAATTATAAGAACAAAAATGTATAAGCATGGTGGTTAGAAAGAAAAAGGCCACCAAAAGCAGTGGCACTATTAGGAGGTATGGTGTCCTTGGGACAAAGGTGTCACTGCAGAGAAGGGATATATGTTCAAGATACAGCCCAGTGTCTCAGACCAGTGTCTGAGACCCAGTGTCTTCTTGCCTGTCAAGATGTAATAACTATCAGCTCATTTTTGTAGTACCAAGTCTCCCTGCATGTATCCT